GCATGTGGCCTGACAAAACTAATTTTCAAAAAATTCCACCTTAATCAGAGGGTTAATCTTTACACTTCCCAAATGAAAACCCTTGAATCAAATGACTATTTTTAATCCAAAATATGAAAAGATGGGGCACCTCGGTGGCCCAGTTGGTTAAGCCTCTGCCTTCAACTCAGGTCATGATCTCAGGATCCTCCCTGCTCAGCTGGGAGTCTGCTGCTCCCTCTCCCTGCTCATGCTGTCTCTCTCTCAAATACATAAATAAAATCTTTAAACACAAATATGAAAAGATGTCTGGGGAACACTTCTTGACAAAAAATGTATACTTCCTTTACTGTATTTTTTCCTCTTTTATATCCACCCTAAAACTAGCAGACAACTTCAGATTTTACCAACTGAAAAGAACTATTAAGCTAGTATGTGGTGTATTTGTTCATTTTCATATCACCCAAGTATTCAGGAAAAATTAGGTCACTTTCAAAACCAAGTCAATAGGGTTTTAGAGGGCTATTTCTAAGCCTTTAAAAGAGTAATCTCCCAGAGTTTTAACTGTTCTTTGTTCTTGCCCACAGTAAATCTCGGGACCAAATGTCTGATTTTGATTTTTTAAGTGCTGTCAGCCAATCTTTTCATTGCCACATTCTCCAACATTCTTAGAATAAGAACACGGTTTCCTAGAAAAGCTACAGCAATTACACACGACTTGGAAGTAAACACTCTATTTTCAAGTCACGAGATGGTATAAGCCTAAAAAAATTTGCAAAACCATACTAATTCTTCAGTAAGTTTACATTTCAATTACTGCAAGGCTGAAAGACTTTAAGTAGGCCATATCAGCCACACTATACAGGAAATTATATCCTAGGAAAGCTCTGTTTTAAAAATAGGCAAAGGAAGAAAGGAAGGTTGCCAAAATACACAGCACTTTCCATTTGTTTTGATTTGAGCACAGCATCTGTTTTATCAGGTGCAATCTACTATTTGCAGGCTTAAGGGGAATGGTAGTAGTTAGGGTGGAAAGAAGTAAATTAATCTAAAATGTTTGCTTTCTGAAAACAATTTTGAAGTAGATACCAGTGGAATTTAGGTAATAACCAAATTCCACAAAGAAACTGAGCTTTGGGTAAGTCAGACTGGACTGACTACTCCTTATCCCAGCAGAATCAAAGCTGAGAAACTAGACCAATCCACTTAAGAAATGTACACTCTTCAACTCTTCTTCCTTTTCTTATTCTTTTTTTTTTTTTAAGATTTTATTTATTCATTTGAGAGAAAGAGAGCACGAGGCAGAGGGAGAGGCAGACTCCCTGCTCTGGGGAGGGAGCCCAACATGGGGCTGGATCCCAGGACTTGGGAGATCATGATCTGAGCCAAAGCAGAGGCTCAGCCATCTGAGCCACCCAGGCACCCGTTTCCTTATTCTGAATATTCCTTTAGTCATTCATTCAAAAAATACCAAGTACCTACTATATATACCATGTACTGTTCTGGGTAGCGGAACATAGTTAACAAAACAACAAAACTCTAAGGAGCTGTTTCCGGTGGGGAGGACAAACACACATACAAACAATATCAGGTAATATAAAAGGCTATTAAAAATGTAACAGGGAAATCTGAAGAAGGTTAACTTTGCTAAGAAACTACCATATGCAAAACAAAACAAATGTGGATGGGATCATTATATATGAAAACTTGAGAAGAGAGTTCTAGTAAAACTGTTATGATCAGAGTTAGGTTCAGATTAAGTTTAGGCGAGGCTCAGCAAGAAAATAATATTTGAACATTTTGTCAAAAGTAAATTTAGACTGGAAATACTTAAAGAACTGCCAACATTTTCAAAACCTTCTAACTTCATCTTTAACCATTTTGATCATAGTTGATTTAGATGCTTATGAGTCCTGTCCTGGTACTGACTGGTTAAGTGGCCTCAGTGCCCTTCTTAAAAAATATCCTTATTTTTGTGGCCCTGGAAGGTCTACTTTGGACGCACATCTACTGGCAGGTTGTGGAAACTGTTCCTACTTCTTTGTGAAGCTAGAATCCTCACCTACTTTTCTAAAGGTAGCATGGTAGCAGAGAAAGAATAAAACATTACAAACAAGATATCCAATCTGGTACCATTCCTGCCTTAATGATCCATGTGACCCTGGACGAGTTGATTTACTTCTCTGAGACTGTAATACCGAAATATTTTCCCTGCCTACTTTATTTATTGATTTTAGAGTTGTAGTGAGGACCAGTGAGATATTATGGTACATGGAATAATGTCTCCCTCCCCCAAAGATGTCTATGTCCTAATTCCTAAAACCTAAGAATATGTTAGGTTACATGGTAAAGGAGAAATCAGGCTGCCGATGGAATTCCGCTTGCCAACCAGGTGACCCTAAGATGGGGAGGGGATCCTGGTTTACTCAGGTGGACCCAATGTAATCACAAGCATCCTTGTAAGCAGAATAAGGAGGCAGAAGAAAGAACCAGAGGGATGGAAACATGAGAAGTCTCAGCTCAACGTTTCTGGCTTTGAAGATGATGAATAGAACCATAAGCCAAGGATGCACGCAGCCTGTAGAACCTAGAAAAGGTAAGGGAACAGATTTTTCCTTTGAGCCTCCAGAAAGAGTAGAGCCCTTTAGATTCATGTCAGATTTCTGATCTCCAGGACTGTAAGAGAATACCTCTGGGTTGGTTTAAGCCAGTAAGTACGTGGCAATTTGTTACAGTAGCAATTAGAAACAATAATATATAAAAGTATTTTGAAATTGCTAAGAAATCATATAAATGCAAATGTTCTAATGTGATATCTCAGCTTGGTCTCTCTAGCAGCCTTGATGGCAGATAACATGGTCACCAGGTCTTCCGGGCTGTATCATATTTCCTTGTTAAAGGTAAATGCCCTGCCTTTTCTGTTCTGATGCCTGACCATTTCTGCTTTTAGGTTTTATTTCATTTGTGGAGAGATGATTACCATGTAACTATCAAACCAACTGCTTTTCTACCTCCCTAGTTTCTCTTCAACTACTCCTTATTCTGATGTTCCCAAGAGGATGATAAGCGAACTTTTCAGTCACAATATTATAGCAAAATTATGTACAGATAATCCCTACTCTGTTAATGAGTTATTCGCTAAAAACTACAAGGCAATATGTGAAGTATATATCTAAGTACACACATGTATGCATACATATGTATATATAGTAACATATATCAAGTTTTATAGTTTTTCCATCAGTTTCAATGTTACTGGATTCTCTTCCACAGGTTATCTTCAACTTATGAAGGAGAATTAAAATTTCAGGGTTAGACCATTCTTATTAATCCCAAACTTAGAGACAAATACAGTAATAAAAATTTGAGTATTAAGGGATTAAAACACACAAACCCATGTTTTTAAGTCTCTAAAAATTAACACTAACAAAGTTAAACCAATGCACTATAAGAAATAGATAAATACTTTAGAATGGTCAGTCCCTAAATAACACTATCTTTTTTGCTCTTTTACCATTAACTTACACATGACAGGCCTATTTCTTTTTTTCAAATTATTATACCTTCATATTTCTTACTGTTACTCCCTTTTTATTTTAGGGCATGGTATTTGTGTGCCCACTGGTAATATCTTCGTATTACTACAGCTTCTCATATAAACTTCATTTTCAATTTGTACTTAATTTTTTTCCAATAAAATCACCCAGATTTAGAGGCAAGATAGGAGAATACCACAAATACATACACAAAGACACAGAGGCATACCAGTTATTGCATATCCTGGGTTTATAATGCTTTATAGGGGAAATAGGTGCAAAGTTGAGAAACTTCCCCCTGTATATTTCAACTGTAGTTAATTAGATACAGAAAAAAAGATCTCCTTTAATAACAGTATGACAAATATTCCAAATAAGAAGAAATGTATCAGCTAGTACAGTTGACCCTTGAACAACACAGGTTTGAACTGTGCAGGTCCACTTACATGTAAATTCTTCTTTGATAAATATAGTACAGTCCTATAAATGCATTTTTTCTTTTTTTTTTTTTAAAGATTTTATTTATTTATTTGACAGAGAGAGAGAGCAGGAATGCAAGCAGGGAGAGTGCGAGAGGGAGAAGCAGGTTTCCCGCAGAGCAAAGAGCCTGATGTGGGGCTGGATCTCAAGACCCCAGGATCATGACCCGAGCCGAAGGCAGACGCTTAACGACTGAGCCACCCAGGTGCCCTAAATGTATTTTTTCTCCCCTATGATTTTTCTTAACATCTTTTCTCTAGCTTACTTTTTTTTTTAAAGAGCAGGAGAGTGAGAATCCTAAGCAGGCTCCACGACCCAGCAATCATGACCTGAGATGAAATCAAGACTCTGATGCCAAACCAACTGAGTCACCCAGGTGTCCCTCTCTAGCTTACTTCTAATGGAGTATTTAACATACATGTTAATTGACTGTTACCTAATGGGTAAGGCTTCTGGTCAACAGTAGGCAATTAATAGCTAAGTTTTGGGGGAGTTAAAAATTATATGGAGACTTTCCACTGCGGGGAACCCCTGTGTTATTCAAGCTTCAGTTGTAGAGGCTGATTTACGAAGAAAAAAGACTGCAATTGTCAATAGTAATGAGGTATCTGTATATTTAAATCAATTAAAAAGCTATGAAAAAAGGAAAAAGGTTTGGGGTGAGAAAGAATTATGTTCTCAGTCTACCTATAAAGTCACAGGCTAAAAAACAGACGCCGCCCCCCCCAACTTCTTAAACTGGAACTTAGACAAAATGAGTAAGAGATCCAATTACCCATTTGGAAATCATACACTTACTCAAATGCCAACTGACAGTGAACTTTTTTTTTTGGAAACTGCACTTTGGAATTGTACTCAAAATTAGCTTATGAAGTTAGTCTTTTTATTTACATAACATTTTTAATCAAAAACAGTATCCCAGCTATTTCTAAAATAATGATTTTCTAGTCTTATATATCACAGATACATTAAGCTAGAATTAATCACTCACAAAACTATACTTACATATTCTTTCACGTTTTTTGTCTTCACAGCTTTGTATGAATAATATGCAGGATAAAGCATTCCAAACACCAACCTAAAAGTAAAAGTATGAGAAGACTGATCAAATACAATAATGCTTTTAACTACTTATAAAAATTATACCTAATACAAAAGTAGAAACTACATGGGAAACATACAATGGTGTATATTTGTATGAATGCAAATTTGTGCACAGACTAAATCCACTCAGAAAGCAAAGTAAAAATACTTTTTTTTTTTAACAAAGAGGATTTCAATATTCTAGGTACAGTATCATGGGAAAAAATTTATATTTTAAAAATCATCATTTAAAAAAAACTTTCTCATTGTACACCTGAAACTAGTAACACCATTAATTATACTTGAATTTAAAAATAAAGCCTTTGTCATCACAAAAAATGGTCTATGGTTCCTTGAACATTTGGAAAATGTAGAAAATCACCAAAAATAAAAATTGTCCCAACCGTACCAGACAGAACTGCAGGCAACATTTTATTGTATGCAAATCCTACTTTTTGTCCACATGTAATATTCCCAAAACCTAAATATAACATGTGTGTACACACACACAACTTGTAATACAAAAGTGGTCCTTTACTCTATTTTGAGAAGTACTGGCTACTGATTATAATAATGGTGCTGTCAATACTTGATATATTACAACATGCATTGAAATAGCTCTCTTTAAACATTTATAAAATGCCTAAATCATTAACAAGATTTAATTTAACGCCATCTGTTAAGATTTTTTTGCCAAAGGTATGTACAATCACATATACCATGAAAGGACAGACCCAGAACTGGAACAACACCTATACATGGCTTAGAGTTGGCATTTTCAGGTAATACATCATGGAATTTTTTGCCCTCAAATATTCTACAGTATGTATTCTTAATACCTTCATTACATTCCACATTGAGATTCCCTTAGTTTATTTAAATAATCCCATATAATAGGTTTTTTGTTGATTTCCAGGTTTTTTCGATTGCGCAGAACATAAAAACAGTTCTCTGTCCATTGATACTCACTTCCTGGTTAGGATGTTGCTGCTTCAAAGAGTACATACATTTTTACCTATCATCAAAATGCTCTCGAGAGAAGCAGTTCCACTTTACATTCCTATACATGGCTGATCGCTGGCATCATTATTTAAAAAACAAAGTTTGCCAGCTAAATAGGGGAAAAATAATCTCACCGATGTTTTAATATACATTCCTGAATACCAGTAAACATGATTTTCTTTTCAAGTGTTTACTGGCTTTTTGATGCATATGGTGTATGATATCCTGTTGTCTACTTTTCTGATCTATTTAAAAAAAATCTTTTGGAATAGTTTTAATTTTACAGAAATGTTGGGAATACACTAGTTACCATAAACCCTATATGTGTCCCCTCTTATCTACATATTGCATTAGTATGGTACATTTGTCACAATTCACAAACCAATATTGATATATTATTATTATTATTATTATTTAAGATTTATTTATTTATTTTGAGAGAGTGAGAATGAGAGAGAGAGAGTACATGAGAGGGGGGAGGGTTGGAGGGAGAAGCAGGCTCCTCGCCGGACTCGATCCCGGGACTCCAGGATCATGACCTGAGCCGAAGGCAGTTGCTTAACCAGCTGAGCCACCCAGGCGCCCAATATTGATATACTATTAACTGAAGTCCATATTCTATTCAGATTGCTTTAGTTTTTACCTACCATCCTTTTTGTGACCCAAGATCCCATCCAGGATAGCACATTGTATTTACCTATCCTGTCTCCTTAGGTCCTCCTGGTGTAAAAAAAAAAAAAAAAAATTCTCAGACTTTCCTTGGGAAATGACTTTGACAAGTTTTGAGTATTGGTGAATACCGGAGGAGATTCCTTTACTGGAATTTGTCTGATGTTTTTCTCGTGATTAAACTGAGGTATGAATTTTTGGGAGGAGGACCACAAGAGGTAAAGTACCATTTTATCCTATTATATCAAGGACACACTATCAACATGATTTATCACTGTTGATGTTAACCTTGACCAGCAGGCTGAGGTAGTGGTCAGACTTCACTGTGAGGTGACTCCCTACCCCAGCCCTGTCCACACTGTATTCTTGGGAAGGAAGCTGCTAAGCACAGGCCATACTTGGACCAGGGAATTATGTTCCACCTTCTTGAGTGGAGTATCAATGCAAATTATCTGAAATTTTTCTGCACGGGAGATTTATCTATTCTGCACTTATTTATTCAATGATTTATTTATATCAATAAGGACTCCTATGTTTATTTTACACTTTGGGTTTTAAAACAGTAGTACTTCATTTTGCTGCTCAAGGCTTTGAACACTGAGATCTTTCAGTTTGCTCCCGTGTCCCTCTGACAGACCTATAATTGTGTGTGTGTGTGTGTTTTTTTTTTAAACAATACTTTCTGGCATTATATAATGCTCCAGACTCATCCAATGTATATCCTGCCTCGTTCCTAGAATCAGTCATTTCTCCAAGGAGTCTTGGTTCCTTTCACTGGAGGGTGGTATTTAAGACCAAGTTCTGGGTGCTACACATGCTGGTACTGGAGTGTTGTAGATTCTAGGTCCTTCTTTGTCTATTTTGCATATTAAGCAATTTTTGTCTAGGTTCTTGTTATCTTTTGATATTGTTTATAAGTTGTTTTGATGTTGTTTGATACTGTTTTGGTATTATTTACATATTACTAAAAATACATGTTGAACTATGTTTGTTGGGCTGTCATTAAATAAATACCACAGAGGGGTGGCTGGGTGGCCAGGGTCCTGTGATTGAGCCTCGAATCAGGTTCCCTGCTCAGCAGAAAGCCTGCTTCTCCCTCTCTCCCTCTGCTGCTCCCCTGTTTGTCCATTCTCTCTGTCAAGTAAATAAATAAAATATTTTTAAAAGTTTTTTTTATAAAGATTTTATTTATTTCTTTGACAGAGAGAGAGAGAGTACAAGCAGGGGGAATGGCAGGGAGAGGGAGAAGCAGGCTTCTGCTGAGCAGAGAGCCCGACGTGAGGCTCGATCCCAGAACCCTGGGATCATGACCTGAGGGGAGGCAGATGCTCAACCGACAAAACCAGGGGCCCCTATAAATAAAATCTGAAAAAAAAAAATACCACAGATTGGATGGCTTAAGCAGTAGATATTTTCTCATAGTTCTGGAAGCTAGAAGGCCAAGAGCAAGGTGTTGGTGGGTTTGGTTTCTTTTGAGGCCTTTCTCCTTGGACTGCAATGGTCACCTTCTCACTGTGTCCTCACATGGTCATCCCTTGGTCTGTGTAACCTCCTCTTAGAACACCAGTCACATTGGATTAAGACACCTCAAAGACCTCATTTTAACTTAATCGCTTTCTTTAATCTTTTAACTCCAAATACAGTTACATTCTGAGGGACTGGGGGTTAGGACTTCATATGAATTTGGAGGACACAATTCAGCCCATAACACCTATATTTATGAAGTTTTATATTAAATAGGTGTTTTTGTATTTAATATTAAATAAGTTTTTTCTTACACTGAGAATGGATATCTACATTTCTATATTCTTTGTTCATTTATAGTTTATTTTTTGGTAGGGGAGGGATAGTAAATAGCTGTTGACTTTGTTATTCCTCACAAAAATGAACCCTTAGTTTGGGGCTGTTGTCACCAGCTCAAAGGAATACCAAGTCTTCTGCTGGGGATTTATCTTCACCACTGGAAGCCACATTATTAACAATCTCTGCCTTAGTTAACAACACTACCCTGTGAAGGCTACTTTAGCAGAAGCCAATCCACAGACTCTGGATACAGGATTTTTAGCCTAGCCACAGAACCCAGGGCTTTAGGATTTAACACATGGCAACCCCTAAAAGGCACAGGGGTCATCCAGCCTAGTGAGTTCTGAGAAAGCAACAACCAAAACACAATTTCCAGGTCTGCAGTGTTCATCCCCACTGCTGACACAAGGTACAAATCCCACAGATAGCCATAATAGTTCTAGTTTACATATTTGAGTTAATTTCAGTCCACTTAGTATTTCCCTTTAGAATTTGGATACAATCGATTATCTTCCATAGTCCCATGTCCTCTTGTACCACTGGATTTAAATTCAACATGAGACTCTTCATTTCTGTCACTGTATGATCTTCTGACTCCCCCTTCCTCTGCTATACTATCTATCCAATCTCTAACCCAGTCCTGTTGGTTTTTCCTTGGTGAGAGTCCAAGAATCTATCTTCCTATTCTATTTTCAAACCCATGGCCAGTGATACATTTAGGCTCATGCCATCTCCTCTGACTTAACGGTGTCATTTCCTAACACAAGCCTCTGGCTCCAATGTCAGATCAATCTTCCTAATATACCTGCTGCACTGCCTTGCTTAAAGACTTCAGTAGCTGGCCTCCTTACCGGCCTTGTTGACCAGCCCCTGTGGCGGTTCATCAGAACATAATTTGAAAACTTCTTCCTTATATAAGCCATCTGTTCCAACATGGTTTCCTTAATATGCCTTTTTTTTTCTTGCTCCATTAATGCCTTTTTTCTTCAAGATCTACCACTTCTCCATAGACTTCTAATTGTTTTGAATTTTAGAATTTGTCGGATTAATCATTTTGCCTTTAGTATATTCTAGATTATATTTTTTTAATGTAACTGACTTCCAAAACATAATTTTCTCACATATAGTAAGGATTTGGTACTAGTTGATACTATGCTTATAGGGGTGGTGCTTTGCTTTGTTTTTTAACCTCTGTATAGAATAGAATCAGTCAAATGAATAAACACAATATCCCTTAACACCTAACTCTTGTAAGAGTAGAAAACAGTAATGCATTTCATTTGGAACATGGGAAAGATTAAATGTCTTAATAAAAAGTAAGACAATTTTTAAGGACCACCACTATTATAATTTATTACTGCTCTAATGTGAATATTACTGAGTAATTTATTACTAACATCTGTAATATTTTCTAGGTGTTGTTTTTTTTTTTTTTCTGGTTTATTTTCTTTAATATTGAGTCTTACTCTGGATGTTTGCAACCTGGGAGGTCGGGCATAAAGCCAAAACATGAGCACAGTG